GGGGGGGGGGGAGACAACATTCACCTGAGAATCATTATGTAGATCTACATGTTGAAGACCAGGGGTGCCATTGACATCACTTCCCATATGCATTTGAGAGAGAGGATCAACCATAATAGCTTTTCCTTTATCAACCAATGTTGGAATTGGCTCCAGAGGGTTATTAGAAAATGATGCAGCTAGATTAGTAGTAGAAGGAGAAATGCTCTGAGTTGCAGAAGAAGGACATTGGGAGTCAGAGTGACCAAATATTTGGCAGTGATGGCAAGCCCTTGACTTCCATTGATATTTTACTCCAATACTCACAGTGTGTTGAATGTCTTCACCCCCTAGTTGAAGGTTAAAAGAATCAATCAGCTCATCCTTTGCACTAACTTCAACACAAATGTGTGCAAAACTAATTCTTTTCTTGCTATAGGTTAGTGAATCAGCATAGAGGGGTCTATCAACTGCACTTGCCATGTAACTCAAGCCCTTCTTCGATCAAAATTGGAGAGGAATGTTATAGAGCTTAATCCAAAGTGGGATGGAAGAGTGATCTTTTGAAATAACAACATCAGCCTGCCACTTTTTTAGAATCAAAGGCCTCCCCTGAAATAACTAGGGGCCTGATTCAATAACCTTAGATCTTGCTTCTTCACTTTCAAACTTAAAGAAGAAGAATCCATGGTCATTAGCAAGAACCTCCAACAAACCCATGTAATTCCACACTTTGTGAGCTATAAATTTCACAGAAGAAAAGGACCTTCCAAATTTCAAAACTTGGTTCCATGGAGTTTTGGGAGCTCCTTTTAGTTGTTGATTATTACCCACCTTATTACTCATAGAAGTGGTAGGAGAATTCATCACCATAGGGACAGATGCCACAGATTTGGCACCAGATCAAGAGGGGGGCTGAACTGGAGAAGGTTAGTTTGGGGCCAGAAATAGGGCCAATCAGCAAAGTGCTGTCTGACCCTAGACAGTGAAGGCGTGATTCAGCGCATTAATGGCAGGGGAGGAGTTAATGGGGGTAGATTTTGAAGTATCGGTAAGAGAAATAAGTGAGGGATTTTTCTCACCTCCATTAATGAGTGGATCATTAATGATGGAGCAAGGTCCCATGATGGAAGGAGAAGGGTGGAGATCAGTGAAAAGAAGGAGAGGGGAGGTGGAAGAAGGGGATCGAAGGGGAAGAAGAGGAGTAGAGGATAGCCATGTCTGCTGGTGGTGGATGATGGGTGACTGGTGGTGGTAGTGGCTGGGTGGTGGTGGTCAACTGGCTTCGTTTTTGTAGCAGACTTCGTTCTTACGAATATGTATGAGTTATTGACTTGTAAGGCCTAGTTGGCGCGAATGTGGGGTGACTATAATTTAAAAAACTAATGCTTCGTTTGATAATTCACTTTGTCCTTTCGGGGACATCCAATAAAATTGGAACAATATAGAGAAAATTAACATAACTTCTGTGCAAGGATGACACACAAATTAAGAAATGGTAGGAAAGATAAAAAATAAGAGGGATAAAAAATAGGAGAGATTATATCCTTCAACGAAAGAAAATAGAAATGATATATTTTCTTTCCTTTATATTTAGTAGAATAGATGAAAAATAAAAAAAAAAATAATTTTTAATTTTAATTTTAATTTTATTTTTTATTTTTGTATTTTAAAATTTTTAAAATTAAAAAACTTAAAAATAAAAATAAAAATTAATTATTTTTATTTTTCATCCATTCTACCAAAAACAAAAAAAGAAAAATAAATTATTTCTAATTTTCTTCCTTAAAAAATAAAAAATATGTTCCTTCTATTTTTTATCGTTGTTGCTTTTCATCTTTCCTGGCGGACGCAGTTTTAATTTTTAAATTATAGTTACTCCACCTTCCCGCCAACCCACGTCACTCGTCAAATCTGAGTTGCTTTTCTTGATCAATCACCCATTCAGTTAAGTACTAGAAAGCATGAGCAGAGGTTGCCGAGAGGTTGAGCGGGGAATCTTTCGCCTGCTTCATGGCTGCAAAAGCGTCACCCAACTCACCCAAATCCACGCTCACTTCCTCCGCCACTACCTCCACCAATCCAACCATATCCTCGCCCACTTCGTCTCTGCCTGCGGCTCTCTCAATAAATTGTCATACGCAAATCTCGTCTTCGAACAAACCCAAAATCCCAACATCCTACTCTTCAACTCTATGATTAAGGGCTATTCTTTATGTGGACCATTCCAAAGGTCCATCCATTTGTTTTCAATAATGAAAAAACGTGGCATTTGGGCCGATGAATTCACTTTTGCTTCGTTGCTGAAGGCATGTGCCAGTCTTTGTGATCTTAAACTTGGCCGAGGAGTTCATACAGAGATACTTATTCTTGGGTTTGAAGGATTTAGTTCGATTAGAATTGGAATTATCGAGCTGTATACAAGTTGTGAAAGAATAGAGGAGGCAAAAAGGGTGTTCGATGAAATGTCTCATAGGGATGTAATCGTTTGGAATTTGATGGTTCATGGGTATTGCAGGAGTGGAGATGTTGATATGGGGTTTCACCTTTTTAGGCAAATGAGAGAGCGCAGTGTTGTCTCTTGGAATGCAATGATTTCTTGCTTGGCGCACAGTAGTCGAGATAGTGAAGCTCTGGAGCTTTTTAGAGAAATGCAGGATACTGGATTTGAGCCGGATGAGGCGACTGTGATCACGATGTTGCCAGTCTGTGCTCGTTTGGGGGAAGTTGATGTTGGGAGATGGATCCACTCATATGCTGAGTCAAGTGGACTTTATCAAGATTTTATCTCCGTGGGTAATTCACTGGTCGATTTTTATTGTAAATGTGGGAATTTGGAAGCTGCTTTCGTGATTTTCAAGGACATGCCTCGGAAAAATGTTATTTCTTGGAATGCCATGATTTCGGGTTTGGCTTTCAACGGAAAGGGTGAACTTGGGGTTGGCTTGTTTGAGGAGATGATGAATGAAGGTGTAAGCCCTAATGATGTGACGTTTGTGGGCATTTTAGCATGCTGTGCACATGCAGGATTGGTGCAAAGAGGTCAGGATTTGTTTGCTTCAATGATATCAAATCATCATATCCAGCCGAAACTTGAGCATTATGGATGCATGGTTGATCTTCTTGGGCGTAGCGGATGTGTCAAAGAGGCTCATAACTTGATGCAAACCATGCCCATGAAGCCAACAGCTGCTTTGTGGGGTGCATTGCTTAGTGCTTGCCATACCCATGGTGTTATGGAACTTGCAGAGTGTGCAATTACGGAGCTTATTAGTCTTGAACCATGGAATTCTGGTAACTATGTGCTTTTGTCAAATATTTATGCTGAAAGTGGGAAGTGGGAGGAAGTCGAGAAGGTAAGAGTGTTGATGAGGGAAAACAGAATAAAGAAAGATCCCGGACAGAGCCTGGTTGGGTAATTACATTAGTCTTTTCAATGTTATACAATAATAGCACACATGCAAACAGACTACCGTTGGAAAGTTTCAGTTGTGCAAGATTTGGGATACCTGCAGCGCAATCAATGGAATCTAATATCCTATATTGGGCTTGTTTAGAGGTATCTTAAATAGATAGTTTTTAAGGTGAGAGTTGTATTTAAATTAAAAAATTACATCTGACCTATGTTCGTTCAAGAATAATTTTTTCAGATCATATATTGCTTTACTCACTCCTTTTAACTCAACCTGAAAACTCCAAACATCAAGTGATGCACATATTTTTCTTTACTGACCGTTTTCTTGAGTGGCACACACTTACTTTCCACAGCAACTATGTTTTTCTCTTGGCATCATATTTGTCAGGAAAACGAGGACACCCTTGTCATTATGGTTCTAAAGAGGAAGAATGCTGCATTTTTAATTGGTTATTATCCTTCGCACTCTCTGTTGGCCAGAACTTTTTCAGATTGCTAAACCTAAGAGGTGCATTGCCCTCATTTCCAAATATGGGATGAAGAAGGCTCATCGCATTCATTTAGATAAAAGACTATGCCCAGAAGAATTTTGTGCCTCGCTTGATTAGTAGCATTGCCATGCTCATAGGCGGAGCCAGCTTAGGCCTCTGACCACCCTGAGTTTTTTATTTTTATTTTTTCAAAAATTACATGCATATAATTTCAAAAATAGGAAATTATTTTATTTGGATTTGCCCATTAAGGGTTCATCTTAGGTTTTTAGGTCATTATCTTGTCCTAAGTATGAAGGTGCATACGGAGGTTGAATGATATTGTTTTGACGCCTGATCTCTTCCATTCAATGATGTTTTCGGATTTTGAACTTGATAGCATTATGACCATAGAAAAGATTGAGATTTACAATGAACTCCATGAAATTAGTCAATTACAAATGTGAATTCGTAACAAAATGTTTCCCTTTGGTAATTACAAATGTGAATTCGTGATAACAATCTTTCCCTTTGGTAATTTCGTAACAAAATACACAAGTTAGAAATTAATATTGCAACCCCAAATCATTGAATAAAAAGAATTGTAAATTCAATCTCAACGCTTATGTACACGTCCTAAATCTTTATCTAGTACTAGAATTCACACCTTTTGATGAAGCTTGAAGATTGTAGTCTTGCACATCACCACTCAAACCAAAATCTCGTGAAAAATATCACATGTTAGAGAAATACATAACATAATCACAGATTTGGAAAGCTCCAAGACACGCATAAGACATAAGAATGTATACATTATGCAAGTGCAAAAATGCTTGAAAACTTATTGATCTATCAATATTAAACACATCAAGTTCTCCTCCTTAGTTGGTGTTCACATGTAAAATAACCAGTGAAAAATGCACAAAGTAAAATAGTTGATTTCATGCCAAGTTTGCAAATTTACTTTTCATGAGTATTCGAACAAACTCCTCTTTTCTATGTTTACAACCTATCTAGCTTAGTCAAGAGTAAATCTCTCTGATTTCTCTCATATGTACATAAAATATTCTCTCTATTTTTATCACAAATGTCAACCCAATGATAACATGCAACAACTACAGTACATAATCAAATTACCCAACATCTTCTTATCTTATTTTATATATATGTCAATCCAATGACAACCTATAACAATCTTAATATAGAATCATAGTATAATAAGAAGGTATGAATGCACATCAACTAGCCAAATCATGCCAATAAAATAAGCAAGAGACAAAGAAGACACATAACTCAAAGTCAGAATGATAAGAACGCCAAGAATAGGACTAAGATTATGTCACAACAAACCTAAAATAACTAAACAAATAAAAGACAATGACATGTAAAAGTTAACATCGAAAAAGTAAATAGTACTTTAGTACATGCCATGAATTAATATAAAACTACTCATCAAGCTCACATATGAACTATACTACAAGTCTCTACAAAAACAACAACTCAAATGGCTGCATCTCCACCATTATGTTGGGGAAGCTTGGTATTTGAATTATTCTCATTTGCTACTAGCTCCCCCAATCATTTGCTTACCTTTAATCAACTCGCGTAGTCGACCAACTCTCTTGGTAAGAGATCCAAAGACCACCGGTTGAGCGGTCTCCATGCTCACAATTGTCCATCCAATGCATCTAGTCTCTGTGAAGTAAGACAATGATGCTACTCCATACGATGTTGTATACTCGAAAACATATCGTTCAATGATGCTAACATTGCAACAAATATATCTGAATTGGGCTTATGTGGTGGTGGTGGTGTGCTAGATGTACTTGTCTCAAGATGCACTAGTGGGTCTCCTATAACTTCTTTTCTCTCCTCAACGTAGTCAGCCTGAGCCTTGCTCATTTTCATAGAACTCTTATTCAAAGGCCTCATAGGGTTCTACAACTGGTCACTTGGTAGAATACAACACCCTTCCCTTAGCAGATACGACTAATCAAAGATCTAAAAGACAATAGATCTGATACTCATTCCTCTAAAAAGGCTCTTTAAATGTACCCAAAAATCATCATAGACAAAACAAGATCAAACCCTTTACTTATGGCATAAGGCATTTGAGCTTTAGGAACAGGGAAGTCTGAAACATGGGTATTCGACTCAATATTATAGTTTGTTATGAGATTAAGCATCTTATACTCTAAGGTCAATGATTTTTGAAAGAATTTTTGTGTGGCTCAGTGTTTAGGATGGTCAATACCATACAATTCAGTAGCAGTAACATGGAGAGGAGGCAGTAGGTCAACCGGTCTAACACTAAGTTAATAGTTTTCAACCCTAGGTAGATCCAGTGTGGTAGCTATGAGGCCTGCAGAAAAAGTAAACTTGATGCTTCTGATATAGGTGACAAGGTGGTCAATATGAGGATCAGGTTCATTATTCTGAATATGAGCATAGAATTCCCTCATAATATCATTTGATTTCATGAGTTCATTGAACAGCCAAGTCCATCCATAGTTTGTTAGATTAGTAACAATCGAATGAATTACCTCTGTAGCATTCATTCCCCGTTCGATTAACACTGGCCTACGAGAGAATTCTTGTATGCATCTCTTTGCGAACTTTGATGTCTGAAATCGAGTAGCTTTGTTGAAGTTCTCCTCGATTTCGTCATAGACATCCTCAACCCGAGGTTGTTTCTCTCTTCGCAGTGCCATCTCAACAATCACTCTAGGAAATATAGAGGCTTGGAATGTGAATGAGACAATTTGGAATGCAAGAGGTCAATCAAGACAAGATTTTAAAACCCTGACCGCCGACTTACTCAAGGTCGCTCGAGTGGCACCTGAAAACTTTCAATCCTAACGACTGATCAGATTTAGCTCCTTCTTGGACTAATCTTGTCTTGGCAGTTCACTCAGCCACCTATCTTTCAATTCTCATCATGCATGCATGATATATATATACAATCTCAATGAAATTCAACGCAATACACAAATGAATTCGGAGATGCTATTTTTTTGAAGCGATTGTTAGACTACCTTATTTTTTTTTTTGAAATTTTTTTTGGAGGGGGAGGGGGAGAGGGAGGGGGGACTTGAACCCTTGACCTCAAGAAGACAAAACCTTGATAAGGTAAGGAGTACCATTGAACTAAAGGCCTGTTGGTTCAATGTTAGATTAATTTTCTTTCAATTTCTTTGTGGTTCTGAGCATTTTGTCATATTATTACCTTTTGAGTTTTATTTGTTGATTATTATCATAAAATGGTATATTTGGCTTGATAACCATAATTCATCAGTCTAATATTCCACAATTTGGCTTCTTTCCTTTCTAATCCAACAGTGTTCGCCTTCACAATGATAAATATTGCACATTAATACTAGTATTTATGATTATTAAACATGTGATTCCTGATGTTTGCTATTACTTTCGTATCTGATTTTTGCCTATTGGTTCCATAGCTCATGTTTGGCACTGTTGAGAACCAGTTCGGACCATCCTTGTGTAGAAAGCTCCATTTTATAAGTTAGGTGGTAGCACATATTTCCATCATCCAAAATGATGTAAGTTATTATGACATTACTTTCAAGCATTAGTGATTATCTTTATTAGAAACAATTCTTTTGTCAAAAAAAAAAATGTTTGAAATGATGTATACATCCTCCCTTTATTTATTTTTCTGTCATGCTTGAAAATTATGTCGTTGCATTTCAGTGACAATTTTTTCACGGGGACAAATGTAGCATCAAAATCATGACCTGATACTTGAGTAAAGTCCTTTGTCACAAGCCTAGTCTTGTGACGATCAATAGTACCATCCGCAAGAAACTTCAGGGTATAAACCCAATGACAGTTAGCAGGCTTCACCCCTGAAGATAAAGAGACAAGATCCCACGTGTGATTATGCTGAAGAGCATCCATTTCCATCTGCATGGTAAGAACCCACTGGGGCTCCCACATAGCCTTTGAAATAGAGCGAGGAACTAGTGTATCTGATAAGACCATACTATAAGCTCGAAATATAGAAAAAAGATCACCATAAGAAACATAAGCAGAGATCAGATATAAAGTTCTGGTGGTCTAACCATAACGAACAACTGAACGACGATCACGTTGCGGATAACGATGCCCTAAATCATCATCCTCCACTGAAAATCTCTTATCAGATAAATTAACTAGCTTAGTACCTGCAATCTCATTAGTACTAACAATAGGTGTATCAATATGCTCAATGAACTGAGAAATATTACCTGCATCGCTTGATGTAGAGGGGACATCAGCAGGGGATGCGAGCGANACAGGTGTATCAATATGTTCAATGAACTGAGAAATATTACCTGCGTCGCTAGATGTAGAGGGGACATCAGCAGGGGATGCGAGCGAGAGCGACAAACATAAACCTGCAAAGGAAGAGAGATTAGTGATTCTTTAATGACAGAGACGAGTGGCTCTGGAGGAGGAGAGACTGATGAATCTATAGTGATAATGATCAATGACTTTGGCTTTTGTGGTAACGAAAAATCAAAAGGAGTATCATCAACTGGAAGGATAGATACAGGACTGGAAGTAGAATAAGAAATGTGGTCAAGAAAAGTAACATCTAGACTATGATACATACGACNACAGATACAAGACTGGAAGTAGAATAAGAAATGTGGTCAAGAAAAGTAGCATCTAGACTATGATACATACGACGCTTGACAGAATTATAACACCGATACCCCTTAGATTGATGACAATAATCCACAAAGATAGAACTAATCACTTTATCATCAAGCTTATGGCGAGTAGGAGACTGATCCTGAACAAAATATGTGTAGCCAAAAACACAAGGAGGGACCGAAAAAAGTGTCTGCTCAACGAATAAGACCTGTAAGGGAGCTCTATGCTAAAGAACACGACTCGGTGTACGATTATACACAAAGGTAGAAGTCAAAACAGCAAAATGTCAATAAGATTTTGGTACCCCCATACCTCTAAGCATACAACGTACCATCTTTATTAGATTCCTATTTTTCTTTTCAGCAACTTCATTTTGCTCAGGAGTATATGGACAAGTGAGTTGTTGAAGGATACCCTGAGAGGGAAGGTGAGACATTAAGGCATCAGACACATATTATTTGGTATTATCCGAACGAAGA